TCCCCCCAAGATCGTCCTGCTTTCCTTCTAGGGACATTTAGTTATGAGAAGTAGTATGGATGGAGAAAGTAAGGATATAAGGAAATGATATTTAGCAAGTAAATGAAAAGGCCCAGAAGAAAAGTCAGAGGAGCCAAAGAAAAAGGGGAACCTTTCAGACAGTATTTCTGTCGATCATACACTCACATATGTTAGTGCATTATTCATGATACTAGTAAAATGGTGCCTTGGGTATACTCTGGCTGGAGTCATTTTCTCGCTCATTTTTTTTCCTCCTATATTTCCTGATTGAACTCTGAGGAAAGGCACTTCAGTGAAACCCATCCTATGTGATGGTCTAAGTTACATATAACGTAATGTAAATATCACAGAAAATGAGAGGGCGGCCAATGTCCTCACCGATCCTAGCAGAGCTTTCTTGGCACTTACAGAACATAAACCATAAACTTGTATGCTTTTTCTTGTGGTCTTAATTAATATACACATTGTGTCCAATGTAAAAACTCTGAGAGGCCAGGAGGAAACTAATCAAATGGCTTGAGAAATGTACAAATGTGATGACTAGCTTCCTCAAAATTAAGTTCTATGAGGTATAAATGAAAACCAGCCATTGACTTGGCACTTTACATGGAAATTTGCTGCATTGGCTTGAGGTCGGGTGAGACGGCAAAGGCACACCCTGTGCACTTTTTGATATCCTCCACCGTCAAGCCTTCCCAGAGCTCAATCAGTGTCAGTCCTCTCTTTGGGTGCACGTTGAACACGGCCTTGTCTGTGATGATTCGGTGCACACAGCGCTTCCCGGTCAGTGGCATCGTACACTTGTCCAAGATTTTGGGTTCATTCGTCTTTGAACAATGCTGCATGGTGACCACCACTTTGGTTTTGGGACTGGACACTAAGTCCATGGCTCCTCCCATTCCTTTCACCTTCTTCCCCGGAATCATCCAGTTAGCCAGGTCCCCATATTTGGACACCTGCATTCCTCCCAGCATTGTCATATCAAGGTGTCCGCCCCTAATCATGGCAAATGATTCATCGCTGGAGAAGAAAGAGGCCCCGGGAATGACAGTGACCATTTGGTTGCCAGCATTGATGAGATCCGCATCCATCTCACTTTGTAATGGAAAGGGTCCCAAGCCCAGGACTCCATTTTCACTCTGCAGGTGAACAGTCATGTTGGGTCTGATAAAGTTGCTGGCCAGCAGAGGGATTCCGATGCCCAGATTAGCATACATGCCATCCTCAAATTCCAGAGCTGCCCGTTTGATTATTCGTATCCTCTGATCGTCAGCTGTGTGCTTTTGCTCTTCTGCTTGTCGGATTGCTATGTACTCAATTCTTTTCTCGTCCTTTTCTCCCTTTAACAAGCGGTCTACGTAGATGTTAGGAATATGGATGTCTTCTGGGGCAAATGATCCCACGTCCACAACTTCTTCCACCTCTACCACTGTGACTTCTGCAGCTTTGCACATGGGCACGTTGAAATTCCTTGCGCTTTTCCTGAAGATAACGTTTCCTGAGCGATCGGCCTTCCAGCCTTTGACCAAAGCAAAATCTCCTGTAATTGCTTCCTCCAGAAGATAATGGTGGCCATGAAACTCCCTCACTTCTCTGGGCTTACTGATGACAGCCAGGTGGCCATCGTCATAGTACCTGATGGGAGCGCCTCCTTCCTGGACCAGGGTCCCATAGCCCGTGCTGGTGTAGAAGGCTGGCACCCCAGCGCCCCCTGCGCGGATCCTCTCCGCCAGTGTGCCCTGGGGCGTCAGCTCTAGCTCCAGCTCCCCAGCCAAGTACTGGTGCTCACAGAGGGCGTTTTCCCCCCACATAGGATCAGACGATGCGCCGGATCTGCTTGGTGGCCGGTAAGAGGCCCAGGCCGAAGTTCTCCACGCCCACGGTGTTGCTGACCACGGTGAGCCCTTTCACGTGGGTCTGCAGGAGGGCGCGAATTAGGTTCTCCGGGATCCCGCAGAGCCCGAACCCGCCCACCAGCACGGTAGCGTCATATGCGATGTCCTGGACCGCCTCCACCGCGTCCGTGTAGAATCGGGCTTGCTGCCGGGGGCTGGTGGAGAAGCCCCGAGCACAGTCCTTGTGCAAAGCAGGGTCCCCCCGGGCGCCCCCTGAGCGGCCGGCAAAGTCGCTGAGCCGCCGCCTGGACAAGAGGAGCCGGAGCGCGGCCATGTGGGGGGCGCGGTCCGAGGCGAGGCTGGAAGGGGCTGGGGACGCGCTACTGAGCTTCGCGTGGGGGCGCCCCAGCCGGCTCCGCGTCACAGAGCCAGGGGGCGCTCACCGCGCTGTTGTCTCGGCGCCCTGAGAGTAGGAGTGGTCTAGAGGTGGCCCAGCTCCCCTCTCCGTGTGACACAGGAGGTCACAGGCACTTGCAGGGCCCTACTGCCCCAAAAGCGGGCTCCTCGGGCTGGGATCACAGATCCTCACAAAGCACAGATGAGCTCAGAACCGCCCACCAGGCACTGACCAAAGCCCCTGTCTACCCCTGTGAAGCCTCAGCCCAAAACCCCACCCCCTTCAGGGCTGCCCCAGACACAGGGAGTCTCTGAACAGGTGGCGACATGGTGATGACACTGATAATGGTAAACAGTGGTGGGGATGGGCAGCCCCCCTCACTCACTGTGTGACTTTGCTTAATCCTGTTAACTCCAAGAGCAAGTGGCTGCCCGGAAGAGCTCATGTTCACTCCTCATTGTGACAGGAGGACACTTCCCTGTTCAGCCTTCAGTTACACAGGGACAGGTCCCTGCTCTTCAAGAGGTGGCTCCTCCTTGTGCTCCAAGGATTCTGCAGGTCCCAGAGCCCCACGCATGTACTCTGCTACCTCCTTCACCCACAGTTCCCTCCAGACACCCCATTTCCTGGATCCCTCCTCCAGCAGAGGTCCTGGAAAGAGCTGTCTAATGTCTCAGATGCCTGCCCTAGTTCTTTCTCCCTCCAGCTCCCCTCTCAGACTGCATCCCACACACCACTGAGCTGCTCTGGTCTAGCTTGTCAGCAGTAAGTCCTGGCCTTACTCCACCTCTCAGAGGACTGATGACACTCCCTCCCCCTGGGAAGGCTTCTTGACTTTCTACTTCCTGCTCTTGGAGTCTGGGTCACCTTGCTCTTCAGGTTTCCTGCTTCCTCCTTGGCTGCTCTCTTTCAGTCTCAGTTGTGGTCCCTCCTTGGCAGGGCCTCTGAATATTGGACCATTTTCCTTCCCTGTGTCCCCTGGTCTAATCCACTAACAAGCCAGTGGTTCTGATAGCATGGATCTACTGACTTAAAATCGAATCTGTTTAGTCATTAGGTCTCAAATGAGGACCCTGCAAATGAGGAAGTTAGTAAAAAAAAAAAATGAGCTGAGATGACTCTATTGTCTTAGAAGGAGAACAGGACAAGGTGATTAGGAAGTGCTTAAACCCACCCAGATAATTATCTCAGGAATTAAGCATCTGAGACCCTAAAGGTAGAGTGTTTGAGGAAGTTTATTGCCTTGTTTCTTTTTCCTAAAGGTAGAATATTTAAGGAAGTTTACTGCCTTAATACTTCTTTTTCCAAAGAGTGAAATCTTGATGTTAAACTAGACGAATTGTACACATCCAAATGTAACTTACCCTATGTAATGTGCCTGCTCTTTGTGAAAGACAAGACAGTCCTGAGAGATCCTTCTCCCTGTCCTCCAAACTGCTGGCTTTCTCTTAATAAAGCTTCCATCAGATCTCTCCCCATCTCTGTGATTGACTACAGTAACAGGTGGCAAACCTTCATTCAGTTTGGTAACATTTCCCACACCAGGTCTCTCTGAAATGACATTTGCACATGGATGTCTCTATAATATCATGGCCAAAAGAGTCTTGATTTCCCACCTCAAAAGTGCTTCTCCTAGTTTTCCCTAACTCAGGCAAAATAAACAAATAAAGAACTGTAGGTGGTATCCATGATTGTTCCTTTCCTCACCTACACACCCAGCTATAAATAACCCTAACCAAACCCACTGCTGTTGAGTCCATTTCAGTTCCCCAGGACCCTGTAGGACAGAGCAGAACTGTTCATTAGTGTTTCTGAGTCTACAAATCTTTACAGTAACAGATAGCCTCATCTTTCTCCTGAGAAACAGTTGGTGGATTTGAACTGCCAACCTTAAGGTTAGCAGTCCAACACCTAACCCACTGTGCTACCAGGTCTTCTATAGTACAGATTAGAACTGCCAAAAGAGTTTCCAAGGATGCAATCTGTTTCATTGTTTTGAAACTTTTAATTGTGAATTGAGTGAAGGTTTACAGAGCAGAACATCATTTTACATCCCAACGAATCATACACTTTGTTTCACCTCAATGACTGCAATCCCTTCCATGTAACAACAGTTATCCCACTTCCTCCCTGTCATTCTTATCTCCATTCCAACCTCCTCACCAAGCATTCTCAATGTTGTGTATGTATCAACCATTTTTAAAATCATTTTTCTATTGTTGGACATTTAGACTGACTCCAAGTTTTTGATGTGTCTCTCATAAACAGCATATTGAAGAATCCTGTTTTCTTATCCACTCTGATCTGTCTCTTGACTGGCACATTTAATCCATTTATATTCAGTGTAATTATCAATAGGTATAAATTGATTTCTGCTATTTTTCTGTGTATTTGTGGGGGGGTGCTGAGTTCATTTTGTTTGGGTGTTTTCTTTTCATTTTCATTTCTGTTGTGTTAACGTTTACTGTATCTGTCTGATTTTTCTCTTTTAAAAAAATTTTGATGTGCAGGTGTATTATTTATCTTTGAGGTTACCCTGTAATACATTAAAATTTCCCCACTTAAAATAGTGTTTTATCTTGAAATCAACTTGACTTCCTTGCCATTTGGAAGTTCTGTACCTACACCATTTTTTACTTTGCAGTTGACTTAATTATACACTGATATCTCTGGTTCCCTATCTTCAGTTTTGTAGATTTGTTTTACTTTAAATACTCCTATATGTGGACTGAATAAATTCTGGGTGGTGTTGTCATGTATGTTAATTTCAGGTTGTTGTCTGCTGTTGTTAGTTCTCAGTCCAAAGAACATCCTTTAACATTTTTTGTAAAGTTGGTCTGGTCATTACAGATTAAAGGAATTTCATTTCTGTATATCAGGAAATGTCCTAATTTCACTGTTATAGTTAAACAGTTTTGCTGGATACTTGATTCTAGGTTGGTAATTTCCTTTCTTTCAGTTTTGTATATGCTATCCCATTGCCTTCTTCCCTTCATGGTTTCTGCTGAGAAATCAGAGTTTAGGATTATTGGTTCTCCTTTGTTGGTAACTTCACTTTTCCTAAGTTGCTCTCAGGATTCTTCCAATCACCCATAAGTTGTTTCTCTTAATGGTATCCCACATAACTCTTAGATTTTCTTTGGATTATTTTTTCTGATTATTCTTCTTGCATACTAGTACTGAGAGATTTTATCTTTAAGTTCACTAATTCAGGCTTCCATTGCTTCAAATCTTCTCTTTTGCCCTTTCAATGTGTTGTCCATTTCTATTAATCTTCTGAATTTCAAATTGCATGTTTTGTATTGTTTCTAAATTGCATTTATTTTGTCTGTTTGTTCTTGTAGTGTTTTCCTGAATTCTGCTAAAGTTTTTTCTGTGTTCTCCTTGCTTTCCTTGGTCTTTCTGTGAATCCTCTGAAGATATCAAAATGTCATTCTTTTGAATTCTTTTTCAGTTAGTTTCATTACCTTTTTTTCTTCAGAAATGTTTTCAGTCTCTGCAGTTTGGTCATTTGTTTAATCCATTTGCTCTTGCTTCTTTGTGTGAGTTAAAATTGTCTATTTTTTCTGGGGCATTTTGGTGTTGTCATATTTGTAAAAACAAACAATGCAGTTTTTGGACCCAGGGAGGAGAAATCTCTGGGGGCTCCTGAAATTCAAGGAGCTCATGAGGTGGTTATGGAAGGGATGTGACAGCATTAGATGGAGTTTCTATGGCCTTGGTGTTATCTATGTTTAGGGCACTCAGTCCAGAAGCAGTTAGTGAGAACCCTTGATGGAGCTGGTTTCAGTGACTGTTAGGACCACAGGGCAGCTGGGAGCAGGGTGACTGGTTAAATGTTAGTCTGGTGGCTCCATGGGTTTTGTAGGTCTGGAGCAGAGCGCACCTGAATCCAGGAACCAAAGCAATAAACTAAAACGGAGAAAAGCTGGCCCCCACCTCACACTGGTGTGGCTCTCAACCATGTGGCTCTGAACTTCCCCAGAGCACGGTTTGCAATGGGGGTTGAGATGGGAGGTGGCCACACCTCTGGTCACCAGAGGAGTGTGGGGAAAAAGAAGGATTCCTAACTTTCCCATCGCCTGTGTGAATCTGCTCTGCCAGACCGCCTTCTGTTGCCAAAGGTGCTCACAAGATCATCAAGCCAAGTCTGGCCAGTCGTTCACCAATCAGTTTCTCTCTCTTGACATCCCTGCTCAGCTTCTCCTCCCAGCAAGTACTGTATCCACTTCTTTAACCTTTATTCTGAAGTTTAGAGTGCCAGAATTTTCATCTGTGTCTGTTTTATTTGCCCTCTCATATCTTTGTATCATGATAATTATTACTCACTATTGAATGATAAAGGAGTTCTGGTAGCGTAGTGGTTACGAATCGAGCTGCTAACCTCAAGGTCAGCAGTTCGAAACTACCAGCTGTTCCATGGGAGAAAGATGAGGCTTTCTGCTCACGTAAAGATTTGCAGCCTTGGAAACCCTGTGCAGGGTCACTATGAGTCAGAACTGACTCCACGGTACTTAACAACAACATCTTTGTTGAAGAGGATCCATGTAGTGCATCTACCTAGTCTGCCATCTTCTAAGGCTGTGATCTTTACACTGCCACATCTTTCTTCTGCAGGGTTTGATACAGCAACTTTTTTGGTGAGCAGCTGACTGCTTAAGCAATGCACCACTAAGGCTCCATCAGTTATCACTACATCCAGACAATTATACTTCTACAATGTATCTCTGATCCATTTGCTTTGCTCTATCCCAGCTGTTCCCAACAAGCATATAACAACTCTCACCTGGACCACATCTGGCTCAAGGTGGGTCCATTCCACAGTAAGTCAGAGGGTACTTCATTTTCTACATACATTTAAATAAACTTTGTATTTTACAAGAGTTTATGTTAGCCATAGCACAGAGAATTCCCATATACCCCTGGCACCCACTTGCCCCTGTTGGTAACATCTTACATTGCTTTGGTACATTTGCCACAATTAGTGAACCAACATTAGCACCATTCTTAACCAAACACCATACTTTACTCAGATTTCATTTGCTTTCCCCTAATATCCTTTTCCTGTTCTAGGATCCTACATTGTATTTATTAATTATGACTCTTTATGTTACTCAAGGAAATGATAATTTCTCATATTTTACATGGATTTTATGCCCTTTAAGGAACAGGAATGGTCAGTAATAACAATAATATTGTTGTTGTCAGGTGCCATCGAGTCGGAACCGACTCATAG